TAAGCCTATATTTATTCGTCGTTATAAAAAAAAATTAAGAATAACAATGCGAACATGATTAAAAAACGAGCACATCTAAAATCCCACGATGGAAGTGGCGACCGAGGCCCAAGAAAGGGCCTCCAGTATCAGAAAGTCACAGGGCCCCTGGCCCCATCGTTACGCCACTGTTCCTACAATAGATTGTACAAACTAACATCACAAGGTTGTTGGACAGTCATAGACTAGTTTTGCATTACACACACAGACACCGCTCCGTTAGAGGCTAAACAATTTTCCATGCTTGTGGGACAGCTGCAGTCAGGACCACCTGTCTCTTATACACATCTAGATGTGTATAAGAGACAGCTCATCTGGACAGTAAATCGTCACAAACTTTTACTCCTTACTCAAATTGATATATGATTCACATTCATCAACAAAATAATAATAATAATTTATCATCGTTTAGTCATTTATAAATGCAGTGCGCATCACTTACATCTTGAATTATAGTCGACTTATATTGAGAAGTATCATATGTCCATCCATCTGTTTCAAAACTCCTAAATACGCCACTGCTAGTACACAATGGCAGTTAAGCCGGGCACACACTACACCCCCGACGGTCGTCGGCCAACGTTTATCCTATATAGAATGCAAAGCGCCACGACGAGCGCGCAATGTATCATTTTTTATGACGATCCCCTCAGACTGCCACTGACAATCATCAGACGGCGTCGTATCGTCTAGCGCTCACGGGAAGCGGACTTGGATTCGTCGGTCGTACGACCGTAGTAAAAGACGCAGTGAGTGCTCGGCTACAGAAGATTGCGTTACTCTTGTATTAGTGCGAAATTGACCTTTTTCAGATCATATTGTATGAGCCTGCACATGCTCTAATTGTGGCATTTATATAGTTTGCTACTACAGAACACATTTAACGTGATACTACGGAAACCTTTAGAGAGCAGCTTAGCTCAGTCGGTTAATCTGGTGGTAGCCACTGTGTGTGCGCTGAACCGGACCGTGGAGATCTCTAGGTCCCCGGTTCAATTCCCATCGCTGCCTCTCCTTGTGTTTCAGCTAGGGGGCTGAAATACAAGTTACATAGCGCATCGTCTTTCGGATGAGACGTTTAAGCCGTTGGTCCCGTGTGCATTTATGACCCATGTGCACGTTAAACAACACAGTACACCCTTCGGAAAAGAGTAGGGGATTGTCTCCCGGTGTACTGTCCAATCACCACCAGAAGGACCCCACTGAAAATAAGTCTTCTTCTAGACTTTCGTGGGCTATCCTTGGTGTTTACACCAGATAAATCCAATCCAATAATGTTGATGTTATTTCTTTGGTAATTCTCATGACATAAAAATTAGTAAATATCAGGAAAACCCATAAAACGCCAAAGGGGTTAATTCCAATGGGATCCTCATGCATTTAAATATTACGGAACAATATGAAGCAATATATTTTTGTGGTTTTTTTGCACTTTTAACAGATAATTAACAACAAATAATATTTCTTATAAAGATAACACCGCAAAATATTTAACTTATACAATCAGTATACTTGTCTACAATGCAAGTTGGGGTATCTAAGCATGGCTGGCCGAGATTGGGCAGCGTGTGGTTTGAACTCCTGACCACAGGTTTAACAACCAGAATGGAAACCACTGAGCTAAATCGCCTTCTTACCATTATTGTTGTTAGGCCTATTAATATTATTAATATTTTAAAATTTTATTTTATTTATTTGTATTAAATTTTTAAAATACGCTTTACTATTTTTTATTATTCTGCTGGCTGTTTTGGACGAGTTATTATAGGTAAATTCCATCATCACCGATTTTTATGCTTCGGCACAATGCGACTTAGCCTTGGTCTATCCCCCTACTTACTTGGCTATAGCAGGCCCTCTAGGCCTGGGTTGTGTCGTCAGTTTCTGTGTTTTTTTTTATCGGATTGTCAATGCATAGGCCTGTCAGGAAAAATTTGTTCCGGGGCCAAAATCGGTCCGCCAGACCGATTTTGGCTTTAAAATTACCTGCCAAATGTAGTCCACATAAGCCAAAATTGGTCCGGCATCTATTTAGTAGTTATAACCTGTATTTTTTATCATGTGTGTTTAATCATGTTTTATCATGTGTGTTTGAGAAAAATCTGTCCACAACGGGGTCCACACCAGCCTTGTCCACACCCGGGTCCACAAAAGCTAATACGAATCATTCTGTCACTGCAAAAGATTTTTCAAGTGTGGGAGAAGCATAATTAGCCTACTACTTCCCACCACTTCTTCACGGGAGAAACATCATACCCTACCGGCAGCAGCATGCTAGCGGCCACGCCGACGGACCAATATTATCCAAGGGGGACCGATTTTAGCGGCTAAAATCGACCCAGTGGACCGATTTTAGCGGCCAAATGTAGTCCGGCGGACCATTTTTGGCCCGGACCAATTTTAGCGTGACCGGTGTATACGGTACATACATACGTACGACGATAGAGCCAAATAAACTGTTGTTTGCGGTAATTTAATTACAATTCTTCCTGACGATGTGATAAACTGTAGGCCCTTGATAGCCAACATAGAGGCTTTTCGACCGGAATTCTCATTGTTTTCCATTTTCATAACCGGATCTCTTCAGCTTGAGTTGCGCACGTTCAATTGTTGCATAAAAAGTTCGATTTTTCTCATTTCTGTTTCACACCCTCTTCGCAGACGCAATTTTGTATTTGGTCATGCTCAATGATTTCATAAGACGTCATTTTGCTCTACAACGTCTTACATCACCTTTCCAACCTGGTATTGGGTACAATTTAGGTTTTTGTGACAAAATTAAGATAATAAATAGTACATTTAAAGATATCAAATAATTTATTTACTTCCAATGACATGCAGATTCTTTATTCTAATTTGTAATTGAAAATGAATAAGTACTTAAATATACTTGAAGTATAAAGTAGGACCTATAATAATTTAATTATTTTCTTTCAAAAATTATGATTAAATGTTAACTAGAACATCAAATCAACCATTGGACGATAAAAAATCGGATATGTACGCCTATTATCCAGAAGACACTTTATCTACATAGCTTCTCTTCACCCAGGAGTATAAATTTGAACCTAATGGGGTTACTTGCTCCTGCGCTGATTACCAGGCGCAAGACTTAGCATGTGGACCCAATGACAAGGGAAAAAGAACTTCTGCGCTTAGTAACTGAAAAAAGGGCGATATACAAATGACAAGTAACAAGTATTACTGAGTACAATCTATGAAATTCAACTTAGTAGAACAAACTGATATAGGAAGCGGTTTGTCGCAGTTAAAATTGTTTGGTTTCCCAGCCTCGAGGTCGGATTTCAATCACACTCCTCAAACTCTAGTTCCTTTGTCTCTAGTTGAGATTTTAAACTTTAGAATAATATTATTTTAATTGCATTTGGATTTTCATTACTGTTGTCTCTTTTTTTTTAATGAATTTTATCTTCACTTGTAACTTTTGTTCTGTTGTATGGTCGAACCTCTCCTGCGTGAGAGTGTTCCACTGTTTTGAAAGAGAGAGCCAATAAATTATTATTAGACTGTTTCACCGCCAGATCGTATTGCAAAGTCGCGGAGCGGGTGTGCCTGAGTGTGCGTGAAAGTTTTTGGAAGGAGAAAGCTATGACGTGTGTGGCTGAACCCGTTTTCTGTTGAATCATAGTAGAAAAAAAAAAACAATCAACAATTGCCGGGGGAACACAAGTGAACATTATTATTTCTTAAATAACTATTTAATTTGTATGCAATGAAATGTTATCAATGAGAGAACAGATGATATATGTATATTGTATATACATGAAGGCTTCGTGATCAAAAGGTCTTGCCAGGTTTTGATATGTTGACTGCTATATATATATAACTATATATATATATATGTATATATATATATATATATACAGTATATATAATATTTTGATAAATATATAGATGATTGAAAGCCAAATATCTAGCTGACGTTAAATCGAATGAAAATATTTTACAATATTATGTTATTATTCTTATTAATTTTATACTGTAAATGTAAATACTGTACAGTATTTGGTCTTATTTCATCCGAATGCCTCTCTTTACATTTCTATCCAAGATATTTAATGATGTTTTAGGTATACGCATGAAATGTAAGCTGTTTACTAGGACTATTGTTGTCTATATGTATTGCATCGAGATCAAATTACATTGTTGTTGGTGACGATATCAACAAATTGGAAATTTGTCCTTGCTGATGACGTCTGCGTGTTACTGTAATCGATTGTTTAATTTCTATATCTATTTTTAGACGCCCATTTCCATCATCATAATCACCATATCTTTATCATCATCAACATAATCGTCATTTTTATCTTTAACTATCGACGTCACCATTAACGGTCGTCTTCATGAAATCAGTTCCTTTTCTTGCATGTCATGCGACTCAGTGGCGGCGCCAGCGGGGGGTGAGGTGGAGGAAGGGGCTTAAGCCCCCTCGCCGGACAGGTCAAGCCCCCCACCCCCTCCGCCGGACAGAGCTCGTCGGGCAGTCAGACCATAAAACATATATAAATAAGCCCACACCAAGCCAACACATGTCTGTCACAGTCTGAGAGTGCCATTTTCGGCCATCCAGAGGTTGATATTCTTTTAAAAAATCTCATTTGGGAGGGGGAACCTTCTCTCAACCCCTTCCTCCAGCTCGAGCCTACGAGCTCAAGTCCCCCTGTCGGACAACTTACTCAAGTCCCCCTTAGCCCCCCAGAAAATATATCCTAGAGCCGCCACTGACTACCTGGATAACAATAAAATGTCCACTAAGATGTGTAGTAACGGCTGAATACGTCCTAATGTTGTATTGCATTCGCCAATGTAAATAAATTCTTACGTCACTGTACTTCCAAGTCAAACAGTAGTAAGTCAATAGATACCTCTCACCGTGAAGCGAAATGACTTCCAAAGTAAACATGTAGCACATCAACATAAAAATGACGAATAAACAGTAATTATGGGCTCTTCAAGGGAAGATTTTTATTTCACAAATTCAAACAGTTGGGTGACATCATAGAATTAAAAAAACTTTTTGACATTTGAAAGTGGTTCGAACTGGACAGGCTCACAGGTCTTTAGACAGGTTCGGTCTTACTCTTACTCCTGTCTATAAACAAGTGCCTTCTTAAAGTACAGTAGAGTACAGTACAGTTGTACAGACAACTTTGCTTTTCACCTGATGACATAGTGCTTTGGTCAAAGTTCATGATCAGAGTTTTATGATACAAAAATATAAAAATATATTCCAACAACATATCTCCTAAACTGTATATTATTTTGAAATGAAGCACGTTTCAATTATAAAAATGTTGCATAGTTTTTTTTTTCCTATGAGAATAAAAGTTGCATATTTTCAATTAGTTAAAACATATTTTAATTTAAAAATAATTATAATGGAAGAACTAATATGAATAAAATATCTCTCTAGTGTGATAGACGGATGGAAAAAAAACATCAACTCTGAATTATACAGCATCTAACTCTACATGCACATCTAGAACTACGTCTGCGCAAGCCACTGTAGCGAAAGATGGTAAAAAAGTCACTGTAAATCAAAAGCCTGATTTAAGCTCTTTCTAGCCCATTAGCACCATTTAATCCACTTTGGGTAATACTAGGGTTCAATTCCCTTGATTTTTCCCATTCACAAGTTAAAAAGATACATACAAAGATTTTTTTTTAATTAATTTTTTTTTATTATTTAAAAGCACCATCTTGAAATCATCTTAAAATCGCTTAAAATATGTACGTCCCTAATCAATCTAAACAATTCAGCCTTGGAACACAGACTCTGACCGGCACTGAAAGAACCATTTCTTCCCTTTGATGTTATACCCTCTAAAGAGCCTGGTTACGTGGAAATTTATGAGAAGCAGACAGCTCCAATTTCGAGACCAAATTCTTGGGTTTCACTGCCGAGGCCGGAAATTGCTACATCAATGACGGGTAGTCGAGTGTTCTTCTTTGTGTTGTATTCGAATACGGTTTTGGCCCATTCATTGGATGCAGCATCCTATAGGGAAACAAACAAATCATTTGACGTGTCACGACAAAATTCTATCACAAATTGTAAACAAGTTTGTGTGGTACAACATTACTTGAAACATGTTTTCGATAATAGGACTATTTTTCTGTCACAGACGGAAAATCTTAGGCCCTATATATTTATAAATTATTAAAAGGAATAAAACTTTTGTGATAAAGAACTTACTTTGCAGCCGTCTTCAAGTACTGAATATCGGAATTGTTTTTTGCCATTGGCGGTCAGCTCAACTTCACTGCTTGTCATCAGTTTGATGGAGTTGTCAAGGCTGCCATCAGAATTAGCATAGCCGACGGCGTTCAAACATTGAAACGTGACGTTCTGGCGGGCATTGGTGGTAAGGAGTCTCAAGAATGCCATTTGTGCTTGGTCGGCGTATGCGAAGGTTTTGCCACCCTTCATGTCACTGAAGTAGACGCTCTTTGACTTGCCATAGTAGTATGAGGCACGGGGAACCTATAAACAACAATAAATATGATGAATAGAATAATAAATAATGATATATCGATTGGCCGCCACTGTGGATTGTCGTTCTGTTGGCAACGGCGTAAATTATTGCAATCACACATTGAATGCAACATTTTTACACACGTATGACGAACTATAAAACATTTTGATAATTCTCTGAACAAATATATTTTGAATAATGAATTGTATCCTTTTTTAAAATATTCCAAGCAAGTACTAGGAATTATAAAAAAGAATCTAATACAATAATTGTGATAATTTCAGATAAAGAATTAATTGAACCGAAATGAGTATAATCACAGAATTTGCCAATGAGTTTCAAATAATTGAAAGAGAGTTTTAAATGAATATAATTAAAACGTTGAAACACATGCCTACATTTTAAAATTACAGTGTTAATAGATAAATTGTATCTGGTAATTTACCTTTCCATTTGTTGGTACTACGCACGTCTCCATAGTCTTCTTGTCACAGTATACTTCAAAAGCATCAGAGCTACATCCCTGGTTAGGATCAATGAAGTACTTTCCTAGAAGAAAAAATATAAATGATAAAGTTGGGTTCAAAATTTAAGATCAGGTTGTGGTATACTCATTAATCTTGTGATTTCATAATGAATGAAAATGTCTTGAATAATTACAATATATTTCGTCTTACCGCTTGGGAGGTCTGGATAGCATTGGAAGAGGTCTTTGCAGGTTCTGGCTGGGCTGGCCCTGGTTCCGAGTGGAGATTTGATGGCCTGGATTTGGTAGTTCAGTGATCGGAGAGCTCGGAGGATCTCAACATCTGAAAGCTCAACATTTTCGTCATTGGCCTGGTCACCCATATACTGAAAGGTTTTAATTTTAAAACAATTAGACAAAATTTGACGTCACATCCTGAAATTCTTGCCAATACACACTCGCATTTAAATAAACATATATACTTAACTATTACTCATTAGCAAAAATTTTAATAATTTTATATAAACAAAACAAACCACACAAGTTGACAGAAAAATTTTCTACCACTGCTATGTAACAAACTATAACAAATATCATTTTAAACTTTACAGCGTTAGTCATACCTTAAATTATGTTATTGCATTACTTAGGTTACCAACATTGTTTAAAAGCCAAAATTCATGTTTGATGCAGATTAAATAATCAATCCTTGGTATTTATAACAATAAAGACAAACGTTGCGTTACATCGAATTAATATAACAGTAATGCTTTAAGATTAGTAATGAAACCATTTAATTTATGGGGGGTCATATTTCACATACTGCTGTCAGTACACCATACTTAGGGTCGAAATGGCTCCATTCCATGTTAAATCTTGTAAATCTAACAGTAAACGATAGTAATAACACAATAACCTAATTTCTACTTTCTACTATACAAAAAAATCACGGAAGCAACAATAGAGTTCAAATAATTACAACAGACAAAGGAAGTACTAAATAGCACCTCCTTACATGAATATCTTCATTGATTCACAGAAATTAGACAACCAAATTAATATTTAACAAAACAGCAACACTTAAGCTTGACGATGCACAGGTAGCAGGCCACATGTTAAGGGACACTTAAGAACTTACAGGTTGGTCACCATATAGATAACCTGTCGCATCAACGCCTTTTGTGGAACTTGCAGCCAACCTTGATAAGTATGCAGCGGCATACGCATTCTAGGTTTATAAGAACACGTGGGAAGAACAAGGGGAAAGATTTTATTCAAGTAATGTATAAAAGGTGAATGGTGATATCTTAAATCACTTACGTAGTATTCGCCCATACTGGGTCCCTTTGGCGCACTCTGTGGGTATATTGGTGTTCTGTAGCCGTACTGAATAAAGCAAGTATATATGTTAGCATCATAATACATTTAAAAAAATATTATCCCAAGAAGTGTATTACATCAAGTACCAAATTGATAAAAGCAAACACTATACTTAAACTTCACGTGTTACTTATAGTGAACATAAATTGCAGATAAAACGTTTTAATAAAAAAACAATTTTCTACTCACTGCATCTCCTGGTGGACCCTGGAATTGAAGGGAAAATAAAGAAAATTAAATAAAGAATTAAAAAGAGAAAAAAAAGAAATTGTTATAGCATTATCAAATGTAGTATAGATATCTTTTCCGTTTAACACCAAGTCCTTTCACTATAACGTCATTCTCCTAGAATCAACAATTATCAACACAATATTATACTACATAATTATCAGAATATTTCATGAAACGTATTCAATGCATACAGAGAGTCGTAATTTTTTATGATACTTTCTGGTGAAGTAAAAATAAAAATCGGTATTTTCCAAAAAATAAGACAGAATAATACTTACTGGTGGACCTGGGGGCCCTGGTGGACCAGCTGGACCTGGGGTACCATCTTCACCGCGAGGACCACGGGCACCCTATTAAACAAAGAAGAGAAAATGCGTCACAAGTTTTCAAACCTGCATAGCCTCATTTATACTCTCATTTGACATGCGAATATATAGAGAAAATGATGCAGTTTATGACAACTAAATCTATCTAAACTATTTTCTACCAGCAACATGCTTTCATAAGTAACGTTTTTGTTCGACCTTATTTATTTGTAAATGCGGTTTATGAAAAACAAAATCAATACAAATTTTGGTTGACAAAACCACATAAAAGATTCTAATTCTATTGTTCGTAATTTATTTTATGTATTTGTAAAAGTAAAAAGTTTTAAACGTATTTTACTTTAAATACATGTCTGAGGCACTACTTGTCTAGAGTATTATTTAGTTTTTATTATAAAATATACAATAAAGTCAAGTAATCATTATTATTCTTATAATTGTTTAATTGTTTTTCATATTTGAGGTACTACATGTTTTTTTAAAATCTAGAGTATTATTTATTATGTTCTAATATACAAATAAAGTTGATCTATTAGTATTTATTATTATTATTGTTATTACTATTACCATTATCATTATCTTCATTATCATTGTTATTTATTATTATTAATAGACTATATACAGATACTATCATGTGACGTCAAATACTTACACTAGCACCAGTGCGACCTTGTTGACCTGTGTTACCAGCTGGACCAGTGCTACCTCGTGTTCCTGGGGGTCCCTGTAATAGATATACAATACAGCTTAGTATAGAGTTGAAGTAGTTTCATTGGCATCAATGCACCAAAACTATTACTAAATCAATGAATAAATGTTGCTGAATGCACAATGATGATAACAATAATCACAGTGAAAAAATAGTATCGGTAGTTTATTAAAATAACCTCCCGCCAAGATTATTCGTCTATGTGCCAATTTTTGGTGTCATATACAGTATTATTATTAGTTATATTGTTCCCATAAATGTTTTAATAGGGTATCAGGTACATCATCACGAAGTAATATCAGGTACTTTATCTACGAAGTCTTACGGAAATTTCAGATGATGCCCGATGGCCAACACTGAACAGCTAGTTAATCATTTGCATGGAGATGCTGACATAGTGTTTCTGCCCACTGGGAAGAAAGGCAGTAGACACAAAAACACACACTTACGCGAAGACCTGGAGCTCCTGTTTCTCCACTTGCACCAGATTCTCCTGGGGGACCCTGTGGACCTGGAAGACCTGGACCTCCCATCATACCTGGATGACCTTTGTGACCCTAAATGACGAAACATAAACATATATATTTGAGGTTTTACATTAAATAATTCTAAATAAATTGTATACAAGTTAACGTACATCATCTACCAAATCAGTAATGATAATACCAGTTCTACCAACAAACATTTCTCCAGAATGCTTTACTTAATTACTTAATTAATTAATTAATTACATATTTTCTAAATTTTGAGATAAAATTCACGTCCGAGAGTCAATAGTTAAATGTGTTTTTTAGGATAGTAGTCTTTATTGGAATTGCATAAACTTCTTGCAAGTTAAACAGCACTTATAAAAATATAGTAAAGATTATATTGGAGTTTAAAGTCATGTATAAACAAAACAATGAATATGAATATTAATGAGATCGAATGTCACTCACGGCAGCACCTGGGGCACCTCGAGCTCCCTGAGCACCTGGGGCACCAGCTGGACCCTGGGAAAACAAAATATATTTAACTTGAAAGTTTTGACAAATAAATTCAGTCTTAAGAATAAACTAGTACTTAAGAATAAAAACTATTTTCTAATATAATATCTTAAGAATATTGATTGTAATTTTAATCAATAAACAAAATTATAATATTCAAACAAATTTTTTCTAAAGATAACTTAGGGATACGTACAGCAGGGCCAACTGCACCGCGTTCACCAGCTTGTCCAGCTGGACCAGCAACACCTGGATTACCACGGTCACCACGTTCACCATCAGATCCTTGGGCACCTGGTGCTCCTGGTGCTCCTGCAATGCCTGGGGCACCTGGTGCACCAGTTGGTCCGCTATCTCCCTTATCTCCCCGGGCACCTTGTGGTCCTGGTTGCCCATCGTTACCTGGTTCACCCTATTAAAAAAAAAAGACTAGGCGGTGAGCCTAAATGTATACAGAGAGTGGCAATACGTAATTTATATATATATATATATACATAAGATGTGTATAAGAGACAGAGACAGAATAATACTCACGGGTGGACGTTTATAATCTATCTGATCTTGAAATTGTGGAATCGGCTATCGCAGTGGTTTGGAGTCAGTCAGTAACCCAAACTTAAGGAATTATGTCCAATGATTAATGTTTTGAGAATAGATCCCTGGCAAATAATAATTTATACAAATTATATAATAAACAAAATTAAATAACATTCGCATATATTATTTTTCTATATTTACAATTCTATATTTATAGGCATTAAATTGTCAATTAATGCTTATACCCTACAGTAATTCTTTGAGAAATGCATAAATCTGTTTGATTAATAAGTAAAACTTACGGTTGGGCCAGCTGGGCCGACGGGTCCCATTGGTCCGGGAAGTCCAGCAGCACCCTGCGAAATAAAGTATAAATGTTTAACAGATATTGTAATAAAAGACACTATTTAAGTCATTAAAAATCAAAGAGACAAAAAATTAACTTCTTCCATTTATTTATATATAAAATTGTGTGATACAGAATGATATAAAGTTGCACAGGACATCATATGATAAACAATATACACCAAAATAAAGATGGATTATTAAAAAGTTTATCTAAAAACCTCATTACATCATAGAGGAAATGCAAAAATATAAACGTATGAATTACTTACAACAGCACCACCTTCACCTCGCTCTCCCTTGGGTCCAGAAACACCTGGAGCTCCCTGTGAAAATTCAATATAGAACATTAAACACATTACCACAAAAATAAATTCTCAATAATTATATAAATCACAATACTATTATAACAATTGACTAATATGGTATATTTAGAATAGAGTTTTGATATTTTAATAACACTGAAAAAAAACCATGTTTATTCAAATTCACAAGTTCCATCACCATGGTTTCTTCTGGTAATATAGCATTATCGCCAAATGGCCGAGCGGTTAAAGCAGGGGCACCGTGATAATAGCCAACAATATTGCCGGCTCGCTCCTATAGTTCTGGTGGTGGAACAAGTTTCCTTATCCCTATAAACTGTAGGCCCAGTGTACACAAATGCTCATGTGCACTTTAAAGAACCCAGTACATCTTTCGAGATGAGTAGGGGGTTACCCCGGTGTACTGGTTCATTCGGCCCCTGTTGTGGACAGATGAAAGTGCGCAGGTTTACTGGCTGCTGAAGACATGAAGTGACCCTTAGGGGAGGAGTAAGTTATTGTAAAGTGCAACATCTAGTCTCGAGCGCATAGAGACCATGTATTATGCACTATATAAGTCTCCAACCATTACCATTACCATTATCCAAATATTAAGAATTAAACTGTAGGCTTGCCTGTTGTCCTGGGGCACCTGTTTGTCCACTTGGTCCTGATGGTCCAGGTGCTCCTCTTTCTCCTGGTGAACCAGTATCTCCTTTTCGCCCTTGTCCTCCAGCAGGACCCTAACATCACAATTACAAATATAAGTATCATTCAAAATAATTTCTCAGGTTCTGTCTGCTCGAAATATCTTGTGTGCATGCTCAGAGTTTAATTTTTACATAATATATATATACATATATATATATATATATATTATTAACAAATATAAATGAATATAGAGTTATATAAACAAATACATATATATATATATAAATATATATATGTATATGTATATATATATGTGTATTTCTCAATCACAATTAGCTACATGTTAACTACACTATTAGCATTAGCATGCAATACTTATTATAGAAAAGTTCTACACAAACAAACAATTCTTCTGCAATAGCTACTAACAACAATGGCACTTAACGTTATACAGAAAAAAAAACTGAATTCATCAGATTACTATGAGCACCAACACCAGTATCGACAAATTCATTAAAAGCAGTGTTAAGGTATAAATCAATAACAATCAAGAACAGCAATATATATAAGTGTACACCATTTTAGAGATAAACTAGATCAGAGCAACAAAGACACAGAGAAACACAAACATCCATTCACCAATACACCATCAAATAAAGTTTGTCAGATCTATGCAACAAATATAGCAACAATTTAATCGACTAGACAATTCGACATAAACAAGAGATAACATTAAAATTATTTTAATATTAAACTCAAAACAGCACGGGCAGCAACTGGTATGTACAAACCTGGGAAATTTTTAGGACTCTATGGTGACTTACTAAAAGCATGTATGCTGCTACCTCACATTTTTCAGTTGGACCAATCAACAGTTACAGTATTATGGGATCACAAACAACTAAACTACAAAGCTTTTGGTGCAGTTGAATCTAGGTTAGCCCTGATATGTATGGGATCCTATTAAAAACTTACACGTTTACCCGTGAATCCCTGTAGCCCTGCTTGGCCCTGCAAGCCTCGTTCTCCCTGAAGAACACCAAGAAATGAATTTCAAAATTTTAATTAATTTAGGTACCCAAAATAACTATTGGTTAACTTACTGGGGGTCCTGGCATACCGATTGCACCTGCTGCGCCGGGTGCACCAGATTCACCCTAGAAAGGAAACAATCATTATTGATTAGTTTAAAAGGGGAAAAAATGCCCGCACAGATCTAATGGTAGACTGTTCGAAAATATGATAAATTAAAATAGCTGAAATGATGACAATGATAAAGAAAAATGAAAACAAAACAATTGATGAAAAGGAAAAAATATTAAATGGTTGAAAAAAGAAATGAAAATAACGAAAGATGAAACCTGGTGGAATGACAGGATAATGAAAGTATAGGATGATGTATGGACGTTTCTAAAGAAAAACAAAGATGTGAGTAAAAAATAGATAAACATAAAATGTACCAATTAGAAATGTGATTACAAAAATATTTTATATATATTGCTATACAAGTTAAATTAATCAATAGAAATTTTTAAATGTGTTGGTTACAATTAACTTCTATGTGAATTATTATCATTGTCACTCAAAAATCATACCACTTATCAATTTCAGTAGGCAAAGTACAATAGCTGTATTGTAGCATACCTGTTCTCCTCTGGCTCCTTGGGCACCATAAGGACCAGGCTCACCAACATCTCCCTTCTCACCTGGAAGTCCTGGTGGTCCTGTAGGTCCTATTGCGCCAACTGGTCCCTAAAGTTGAAGAGATGAACATAACAAATTTAAGAGTAGAATCTCTTTAGTTTAATTTTGCGTTTTGCGTGTTTTTAAGTGATTTCAAGAACACATATATACTATGATATTTCAAAATGTACCATTTTCTTTCTTTTTTGATGCATCATTTGCTTTAACATTTGTATTCTTTTAATTCAATTTAGTGAGTCACACACAAATTTGAAATGAATTTTCATTAAGTGAATAATGATACCAACATAAGATGAGTGGGGTACTTACTCGTTCACCAGACTTTCCTGCAGGTCCTGCTGGTCCAGCAGCGCCTCGCTCACCTTGTGGTCCTCTACCTCCTGCAATACCAGCTGGACCTCGTTCTCCTTGTACACCCTATTATTACAAGAAGAAAAACATACTTCTTGCCAATACAGATTAAGAAAATGCAATGCAGATTTAAAAAACATAAAGCTTAAAATTTTGAAATAAAATCAAGTTTATGCTTTATAATAGAAGAGTTACTTACGCTCAAACCTTGTGGGCCTGGTTCACCTCTTGATCCTGCTGGTCCTGGTGCTCCCTTCTGTCCATCAGAACCGGCACTACCAGTTCGTCCTCTCAGACCTGCAGCTCCTGGGGATCCTGCAACACCTCGTTCTCCTGGGCTACCTCGTTCACCCTTGATTGAGATAAAAATATTTGTTACTTTTTATTCCTTAATTATTGTTTTTATATTTACATATTTGGTATCAGAAGAAGGAATTTAATTGTACAGCTCTTAAGCACTTACCCTTGGTCCCTGTGGGCCAGATTGTCCAGTCTCTCCCTTAGCACCACCTTCTCCTGGTGGACCAGCCTCACCTTGTGCTCCAGGAGATCCTGGGCTACCCTGCAAGAAGAAAACAAGATAGGCATCAGGTACATGTGGTATAGAAATCTAGACATACTTTTCAAATATAAATTCAGGATGATACAATTACATTTACATTACATTTTTTCCCTTTAAGATAAATAAGTTTTGTGCATCATAACCCACCATGAAACCTTGTTGTCCTGGGGCTCCTGCTGGTCCTCGTTCTCCTTGTGGTCCAGCTGCACCTGCTGGTCCTGGTGCTCCTGGGTTACCAAGTTTACCTGGTTCTCCCTAATAGATTGTAACAAAACAATATGCCATTATTATCAATATAACAAGTTTATGATAAATACTAATTAAATTTAAAAAAAATTCATAACTGATTCCTATATATATATATATATACTTACTCCTGGTCCTGGTGCACCACGCTCACCCTGTGGTCCCTCTGGTCCAGTATCTCCCTAGAAGGGGGAAAACATAGTAATTAGTTTTTAAATTGATAGCATGTATAGGACTATATATTTATATCAGTTGGTTAGATGAAACTTTTTATAATTTATATTTGATATTTAGAGGAAAATGAGATATCCTATTTTTAAAATATGATAAATAATCTGCCTATGTGGATAATATTGTAGTTAAGTGGCATAAAATATGTGAACTCTAGTAATTATCAAAATGTAGTTTGAAACTTACAACATCACCCTTTGCTCCTGTAAGTCCTGTTACACCTGCTGGACCACGTTCTCCTTGTGGACCTGGGCTACCTGGGCGACCATCATCACCACCTGCTCCTTGTGGGCCTGGTTTGCCATCTCGTCCTTCCTTTCCTGGTGATCCTGGGAGACCACGTGGGCCTGGGATACCGGCATCACCCTGTCGTCCTTGGTCACCTTCAGATCCCTTTGCTCCTGGTTCTCCTCTTGCACCACGTTCTCCTTGTGGTCCAGCAGCTCCTGGAGCTCCACCTGGTCCTGGGGCACCACTTGGTCCACCTGGTCCACGTTCACCTTGAGGTCCAGTTGGTCCTTGTACTCCTGGGGCACCAGCCTGTCCTCTCTTGCCATCTTCACCAGCTTCTCCTGGGGGTCCAGCTGGTCCACCCTCTCCTCTTGCTCCTTGTGGTCCCATCTCACCTCGTTCTCCCTGAAGACCTTGTGGGCCAGTGTCTCCTTTGCCACCAGCAGCTCCTGGGGCTCCAGCAGCGCCAGGGGCTCCTCTTGCTCCTTGGAATCCAGGCTGTCCTTGTGCTCCAGCAGGTCCAACTTCTCCCTTAGCTCCTGGGGCTCCATCTCTTCCTGCAACTCCAGCCTTTCCTGGGATACCTGGTTGTCCACCTGGACCACGTTCTCCACGTGCTCCCTGTGATCCAGTCTGTCCTCGGGCACCTTCTGCACCAGCCTCTCCCTACAATGCAACACAAATCCATATAAATATCAATAAAGCTAATATTATTAAGGAACTTATTTAACATAACCATTTCTTTTAGGTCCCCTAAAAAATTCTTACCAAATATATTAGGTACTTAATAGAGTATATAAAATGATCTTTTTGAGCTTTTGCTTATTACTGTAAGTCTTCAGTACTGTATATAATTTTATGTACAATTATTAAATCAAGAACAAGTAAAATTAACCTAGAACTGTACCTTAGCTCCGGAAGGTCCCGGGAATCCCGGCGATCCTGGGGCACCAGATGGACCCTATAGTATAAAAAAAATCAAGATAAAATACATAAAATTCTTACATGCACATGCACCACCTCACCGATTTCTTCAACAATATTGGATTTAATTAATTAAATTATTGCCAATTTAGATTTTAGTGACTTTATACAAACTATCAAAGAAACATAATCATTGTGACTCAAAAAACAGAAATTAATTTCTGCAGTTAAAATGTATGAATGAAGATGCAATTCTATTATTGAATAGTAAAGGATATTTATAATATGTCTAAATCCAATTATTTTACATGCTTGAATACTAAATTCCATTGACTTACTGGTGCACCTTGGCTTCCTGGGGCACCATCTTCTCCTCTGGCACCCTGTCAAGAAAGAAATTGAATAAGATTACAATAAATGATATATGAGAAACAAGCAAATAAACAAAAGCTTTTCATCATTAGTTGTTAATTGACATTATGCTATAGCTGTCTCTTATACACATCTAGATGTGTATAAGAGACAGCGATTGCACCTGCTGCGCCGGGTGCACCAGATTCACCCTAGAAAGGAAACAATCATTATTGATTAGTTTAAAAGGGGAATTAAATTACATATTTATTTAAATAAATTATTAGTATTATTATTTATTATTATCAAAGAAATATAAATTTCACAGACACAATATAATTTAACAGTGTTGCTATTTTGATAGAACAAGAGCTTTGTGACAACACTAGTCCTTCCTCAGTGGCAATATTATAGTTAAATTGAGAGTATACTGTATTAAAATTTGAGATACATACAGTAAAACAACAAAGTAAACATACTAGTTTACTCAAAATATTAAAACATATATACTGTATATTATTATTAAGCTATGCTTCCATTTTATTATATTTTAAAATAGAATAATAAAATAATAACACTACATAAATTTTGACCAAGCTTTTTGCCAATAATAATAATAATAATAATAATAATAATAATAATAATAACAATAATAATAATTGCGTATTGTACTTAATTACAATAATTATTTTTCTTTGTATTTGTAATATTTTGTATATGAAATTGTATTAATTAATTAATTAAATAATTAAATATATTCTTTATGTCTTAACCCGTTTTTAATTTGCTGTCTTATGTATTTTGTACTTTTAATTTGCTGTCTAATGTATTTTGTACTTTGTTATCATCTATATTTAAGAATATATTTTAATTGTACTGTATTTTTTTCTTTTATGTGTTAATTTTGTATTCCGAGACTTTTTCATTATTAATTTTTATTCAACTGTAATAACGAATGTGTTATTTATGTTTGTAATAAAGTTTTAAATTTAAATATAATAAAGGTTGTTTTTAAAATAGACAAGCTTTATACTTACTGGGGCTCCAGGAGCACCAGTTTGGCCAGCCTCACCATCGGAACCACGGGCACCAGCATTACCTTGGTCTCCCTTAGCACCTCTCATTCCCATGAAACCCTAGAAAATATCAAAGTATGTTGGTATTAAACTGGAAAAATCTATTACATAACAGGGTTCACCCCCTAGCTCACTCTCAATGTGCAAATGACAGGGATAGACTGGAACCCAAATAATTACTGATTGAAAAATAGCCCAATCTACCACTGCTCTGTATAACTGCGGATCAAAATCGTATATTATTTTCCTTCCTCCATTAAGAACATTTATCTTCAACCAACCCATCACCCTCACCCCCTAACATCAAATAGATAAACATTCTGTTTTCTATATGTGCAGCCATATGGTCCAAATTATTGAAAGTTTTTATGTCTGTAATAAACACTTACTCTGTGTCCCTTTGGTCCAGCCATTCCCATTGGTCCTGGCATACCTCGGGGTCCCTTTGATCCAGCTGGACCCATTGGTCCTGGGGCTCCATCTCTACCATCATCTCCAGATTCTCCTTCACGTCCTTGTTGTCCGGGTGGTCCCATTGGTCCTGAAGGTCCCTGTAAATCAATAAATGGTCAGTGGTCAATGGTCAAGCATTTTTATCGCACCTTTCTCAATTAAACCAATTATAAATACACTGATTTTGTCACTTGTTACTAACAATCACAATTTAATATCATTTGTTAAGGAGTATCAGCTTCTTTAACTCAAAATGTTTTGAAATATATACAATTTACTTACAGGTTGGCCAACATCACCAGATTCTCCAGGGTTTCCTGCAATACCTTGGGGTCCCTGAAATAAAAATAAAAACACATTTATAAATGTTTTCTCTTTTTAAGAGAATAAAATAGGTATATTTCAGAAACATCAACTGTAAAATTTGTGGCACATCAGTTTATTTTCTACCTATGTTTTGCTTAAAATATTAACAACTGCAATTATGAGAAAATGATTGATTTCTGATTATTTATATACAGTAATACATAAATATAATACAGATGTGTATGCATATGTGTGTGTATGTGTATTCTTGAAAGAGATAGTTTACTTACTCTGATTCCAGCTGGCCCTGGTGGTCCTCGTGGTCCTGGTGGTCCAGCCTAAGTGTCAATTAATTAACATTTTAGTAACTGTTCGCCAATAATTATTACAAAAAATATTAACTCTTTATGAAATTAGTCTTATAATTGTAATTATGTAAAAGTCAGTTTCTATGCATTCTCTTAGTTTCATTTAGTTAACTGCATTCTATTAACTGCATTCACACATTACTACAATCTGACTCCAGTTACTCTTAATGTTAGATTTCTTCTGGTATAACTTGATAATAGTATGAATCACAAAAAATATGAGTGTGATCCGTTAAATGCAGTGGCATATCTAAGGACGATTGGGGGAAAAGGAGGCTTGGGACAATCGTTACCCCATAAACAATCATTCACCCTTCCCAGGTGCACTAAACTGGAAATTAGCCGAGCAAAAAAACTACATTACAACAGATGAAAAATAACTCATATCACCTTATTTTGCCAAGTAAAGCCCAAACCCAACCAATCACCAAGCACTCCCACTTAACGTTTGTACCCTCAACAGCCCACCCCATACCTCCTAGATATGCTAGTATTAAGTGAATCACGTTCAAAGCTTAAAACATGAGCAGTTAGTATAGTAGCAACTATATAGGTGCATTAATAGTAGCAAGCGTTAACACTGAATTTACCACCCGACATACTTTAATGTGGGAAGATCATTTAAAGCCATAAAATTTGACATTGGATAAATTCACATTGATAAAATATTACCAAGTTATTTAAAGAGAGATGGCAACATTTTAGATATTTGTATTTAGAAACTTGCAAAGAAATTTTACAGTTGAGAATTTACACTGTTTTTAACATAATAACATGTCTGAACTATCTAAACTAATTGTGATATTATCATATTCCCTAAAAACATGACAAGAAAGAAGATTTACTAGTAACATGCACAAGTTGTTATTTTTAATTTTTTTTAAATTAAATTTTAAGGGAAAACGGTCAAGATAATATGTCTTTAAAAGGTTTTGCACATCTGTTAATTTTAGGAATAATTATTCCTCATAGTTAATTTTAGTGATGAACAGTTGACTGTAAGTGAAAAAAGTACCCTATATAATCACAACAGGGAACTAACATTAATTAGAATGATACCCTGAAGTATTCTAACAAGAGGAAAACATTTCTTCATTCTTAACCCATACATACCGAAAACGAATATTTCTAATTATATAGAATGTTATAAAATTTACATAAAAGTACAACTGATCAGCCCACAGTTTCTCGAGCAGACCAGCATAAATGTTGAATTACACCCAGGGTTTCCTCTCATGCCTTATTAATATCTGTCATTTCTAAATTTATAGTCTTCATATCCAAATGCACTAATCGTTCACAAGACAACTCCAAGCACAAGTGGGTTAGTAGCGTACAGACACTTACAACTTGAGCCTGAGCGTAACCTAGGCTGGCCCCATAGTAGGGTCCAGGTCCTTTGTATCCAAAACCGCCGGAGGTAGCACTAGCAACCGTCTGTAAGGTTGTGGGGATATTTAAGATGTGGAAGGGAGAAAAAAAAAAGCAAAAAAAAAAGCAGTGAATATAATGTACATGTATTATGACTTACAGTTACTGCACCCAGATTGCCGTACCCAGCATAGCCCGAGGGATATGCGGGCCCTTTGTACTGGCTAGTCTTGCCTACTGTGGCAGCTGCAACCAACTGCAATACAAAATATTGGCATGCTTTTTATTGTTAATCATTTCACATGGCCCCAGAATATAATGAAAATCATCTGGACTAAACAGAATCATCCTTGGCTATACTGCAAATTAAATCATTTATAGTAATTAAACATGATCAGCAAGTGTACACAATAAATATTAAAGATGAAAACATCTACTTAAATTCACAATATAACAATACTTTATAACTTAAATCATAATTACTCAGTTATTCAATAACTATTAAACAGACAAAATTAATGTTTAAAGACAATTTCTCTGTACTACCTCGCCTGGGGGTCCTGGGGGTCCTGGGGGTCCTGGCTGGCCGGGTGATCCTGGAAGACCATTTAATCCATCTATACCATTGTCTCCCTATGGAAGAGCATACAAGTTTATAACATTACAATATTCTGTAAATTGTAGATTGTTTAATTAAGTCCTTTCATTCTGATGATTATACATATTATATTCTTGCTATTTTTGTAGAGAAAACATTTGTATTAATATATTTTTATTACTATTATTACAGTATACATACATGCATTATTATATTGCAGTTTTCTTTTCCATAAGCCAATATAATATTTATTTTTAACAGAATTAGCATTGTGTATAAACCAGAGCCCTAGCTGGCATCAATGTTCCTATGCAGAATAAAAGTGAAGTTACATTACTGAAATTGTACAGTATATACACATAATCTTTAAAACTTGAAAACACATTCAGGCTGATTATTGTGCTATGCTGTGGTAGTGAAAATGTACAATTGTACATCAACTGTGATAAAGTGATGGATGACTATTTAGACAACTCTTAACTCTTAATCCTAAAGTTGACCATTAGGCTTGTCAATGTCAGTGAAACAAAATATTGTAAAACTTTTCCTGACAATGTCCACACACACACACCCACACCCACCCACCCACACACAGAGAATTCCTTTACATTAGGCCTACATGCATAGGAACTAAGAAAGTGTATATTCTTACCCTTAGGCCTGGTGACCCAGCTGATCCTCTTGGACCTGGTCCTCCACGTCCTCCCTAAAATTGAATGTTCTCACAAGTTAACATTTAAATGCTCCTAAATTTTAAATGTATTATAAAGATATAAATACTTTCATCTTTACCTACTGTATACCAACTAGTAATTTTACGTTCGATCAAGTGTTCCGTTTCCATATTTGTAAAAAACTTTATAAAAACATTATTATTATAATACTAGTAATAACACAAATAATAATGCTAATAATTACATTAATAATAATAGTAATAATAAAAATAATACAAATAATAAAAATAATTACAATAATAATAATAATAACAATAAAAATAACAATAATAATAACAATAATAGTAAATATTAACAACAATAATATCTTACTGTAGTACTGGTATCTTATTTATCTTTATTAAATTTGTTTAGATGTTACAGTTTCTGTTTTATCAATTCTCATCTCCGATATTATTATCATTACTATCTCCTTTTTAACACTTTATTTTTGCATAACTTTCATTCTATTTAAAATTCCCTATTTAAAAATGTCCTTCTAGATGAAATATGTTTTTGCTATCGTTAAATAAAACCAAACTAAATATTATCATTACTATTTCTTTTTAAAGAATTATTCTATTCTAAAACTCCAATTTTCAACTAGATGAAATATTTCTTGCTGTTGCTCAATAAAACAAACTAGATACAAAAATAATTAAAAGGAGCCCAATGGAAAACAAAAATTTTTTACCTACTGCATTAAAAATTACAGAACAGAGTAAAATATGATAATTATTGGTTATTTTTTTTACAATACTTATTTTTTTTTTACACTCAATATTTTAAAAACACCATCAAATGCCAACACCCATTGAAATTATTCATGAAGCATCATTGAAATTTTGAGTAGAAAACTGAATAAAAAAAATGATACAATGGCAGAATGTTTGTATACATTTTTGTCTGTTTCAAGCAATAGAGGGCACTATGACAACTTTACTATATGGATAATCATTATAGTTTGTGATACAAGAAATTATTTAAATTTTTGATATTTAGGTCAAAATTTCAATCTTTCGTTCACTAATTACAAAGGGTGAACAACTTACTGGCGATCCAGGTGCACCTGCTGGTCCCGGTGGACCCATTGGAAACTAAAATTCAGGGGGGGAAAAAACAAGAAAGTACAAATTAAGAACAATGTATATAAGACTCACCGCTGGTCCTGGAGGTCCAGGGGGACCTTGGACGGGCTGAAACTGTTAGGAAAAATGCAAAAATATAAAATATTTGCCCAAAACAGATCAAAGTAACAGACCCATAGATTGTGTCCTTGTCTTTAAATGTGTATTCATGAGTTCGCTTTAAAACAACTTTCCTTTTTCTAATTTATAAAATTTTAAATTTCACAGGTTACTATTGATTATTGGCCAATTAATTAAATCTATGTGAATATATAAAATTTGATTAATTATTTTGATCTGTTTTGGAGTCCATATAAATTCCCTACTTGTATGACACTCAGGCATTTAAATAGTTAATTAAAAATTAAGTTTTAATTAGTATTAAATTATTTAGGGCCTTGAGTGCCAGGCTAGCATGCAAGTCATGGTCAATGCTTCAGTGGATTTGGTTTGTGCAGGTGAATGACATTCCTCGTTCAACCCCTCCATCCTTCTCTAAAAAACTTTCTTACACAACTTAGTGACCCCTCAAATTTAAGAACTCGCAGATTCATATTACATAATTAAAATGATGTGTTTTAAATAAAGGAGAAGTCACTTTACAAAATTATGCGTAAATGTCTGAAATATTCAAATAATTTTATCTGGTCATTCTGCAATTATATATTGTTAGTAGTAGTAACCTGGTAAACCAAATTTTATACAGATTTGGACCTGTCCAGTTTGAATTTGGGGTGCGCTAAAATTTTGTTTACCAGGCAACTACTACTAATAATATATAAATACCTTATTAAAGACAATGCAATGTAGATGTACATTATCTATGCTACCTAATTCATCTATTGTAGGTTAATGCTATTGAAGAGAACTGTGTACATTCTTTCTTATAAATTTCACTTAAATATCACTAACTTCAAATAACAATGATAATTAATTAGATGTACAGAATCAATGCAATAGCATTTCCTTTACAAATGGTACTTACTACTTATGACTTTATTATAAACAATCATTAATTCATTATGTATATTATATAACCATGGTTCTTTATACAATATTATCTATATCTAAATTAACCTAACTTATATGTAGACTATAATACTTATTACGTAAACCTATACAGTATTATATGCAGCGGCAGCTCCAGAATGATGCAGACAGTGGGTCCAATAAGTCTGATGGGGTTTTCCTGAATCAAAGGGCTTTCCCTGGTGGGGTTCATGTGCTGTTCGACCACAATAATATGGATTAGCAATCAAAATAACTTTAATCGGATCGGAATAAATAGTTGTGGCATCAAACTACAGGGAGTTGCCGCTGCTGTATATTTGCTATAAAAATATAATTTAAGGCTCTAAATCTCTATCTTTCAATAAAACTTGTACTTTTAACATATTTATTCTATGTATATTTCTGCAAATAAATGTAAATCCTCAAGGCCTAAAAATTAAGTGTTTATAGACACATAGAAAGCTAATTTAAATAGATGTCTTTTAAATTGTTTTAATTCATCTTTAACAGAATTTGTTGAAATATTTTGTGAAATAATTTAAAAAGTACAATTATGTGCAGATTACATTCAAAATACAGTATTTTTTTTAAGAATTTACCTAATGCCAGTTTTTTATTTCCTCCTTAATATAACCTATTTTATAAAGTTTGTCTCCTAAGATTATAATAAACATTTGAACCTGAAATCTCTAATAGTCTTCTAGACTTCAAAAACTTGATATACCAAATTAAATGCATAATACCAAAAGGTGTTACTTAGGGATTTTACAAATTCATTTTTAAAGTTTTTCACATATTAGAAACTCTGAAAATTTGGCATGTCTGCATTCAATTTGTTTACAATATTATACCAACAATAATCTATATAAACTACTTAAATTTCAAACGTAATAAACATAAACACTAAATGTTGTTGACTTTCATATAATGCATTCAGTGGAAATTATATACTGCAATGAAAATACCTTTAGCTGGTAGGTATAAAGAAATTTTTTTTTTCTTCGCTATAGCATGGAGGTATAAATTTCTATGTATCATGTTCAGTAGATATCTACTGCTCTCCCACGGGCCCCAGTTAGGCTTTGATAACTAAGTCTCATAATGAGTCTTAGGGAGTGGAATTGTTTTAGCTGTCACAGGAATTGATCCAAAGAATTGATCACAAGACCCTGGCAAGCATCTTAACCACCAATCTATTCAACTCCACACAGGTGTACAGTTTGAATAAAATTATACAGAACTTTTATTTTTGTTTTGGTTTTTATCAAAATTGCTGTTAAACAGTTTAAAATTTTTGAACCCTTTCAGCAGAAATTGTAGCCTACAATAGCACAATCATATGAAACATCAACAACAATAGAAGTGATTGGAGGGGTTTCTGATTCTTAGAATTATCACTCACTGCACTGCCAAGCTCTGGAACCTCTCCGGGCTCTCCCTTTTGACCCTTAGGGCCTGTTGGGCCAACAACAGGGTTGACATCTCCTCTACCAGTGGAAACCTGGAAATATCAATAGGAATAAGATTAAGTAAAAAGATTAAATTGACTTACTCCCCCAGGGAACATGTTATTGATGTCTGCAGGTTCTCCCTTCTGGCCTTTTGGGCCAACGGGTCCAGGTGATAGTACCTGCGATAATCACAAAGATTAGTCAAATAAACAGCATATACATTGGTACACAATCCTGTTAACTTGTAACTGGTATATTATTGTTAAATTTGATAACAATGATGATGACGATGACGATAATGGTGATGATGATGATGATGATGATGATGATGATGATGATGATGATGATGATGATGATGATGATGATGATGATGATGATGATGATGATGATGATGAGAAGGATGCTAGTAATGATGATGAAACTTAATTTCTTATAATATTTTCTTCACAAAACAAAATATAAATATTATATTTTGGTAAAAAATATTGTCTCAGAAATTTTAAAAAATATATAAATTATATATATTTCAAACTATTATTTTAAATTAATAACATACTGTACAGTACATTAATAAATTAAATCTATATAGTGCCAAACCAAAATAATTTGTTCATAATGGCATAATCTCATAAAAATTTTAATTATTATGCACAATAATTAAATTAGATAATTAACTTAAATATTTTATTATTAAACATATACAATGTATATCTTTAATCAGCACTTAACCTCTTAAACTCACCTCTACAAATAGTTGAAGAAACAGGCAACAGCAACAGGAGAGAGGAGAAAGAAAAGTATGGTTAAATCAACATAAGATTAACATTTTCAAATGAAAATGCCACTGTATCCTTTGTAACCTTTTCTAAACAACTACCCCACCAGATCACTGTGAATCAATATGATCTGATGAGGTAACATTTAGATCTCAGATGATACATTACCTGTTAAGTTAACATACCTTAATAAATACAAACAAAAATGAAAAGAGCTCTTAAACACAAGCCAGGCTGTTTCAACATATAGCAATATGTTGTGACATTAAGCCAGAAGTTATAAGTATTTTGGTCACACAGAAAACACAGAAGTAAAAAATCCTAACATTCACAATTTTAACTTAAAATTTACAACCATTACATATTTTCCTTTTTTGGCTTAGACTTACGACTAGGAGGAGGTGCGCATTGTACTTCAGCACAGCTAATCAGAGGACCACCTTCAAGGGTCATTTCATCATTAGCTGGCTTCAGCTCAGCACATAGATAATTATCATTTTGACAATTCAGATCGCTTTGTTCAATGGAAGCCTCCAGGCCTCTAAATACAGTTGTTGTTCCTGCAGCCACCAAACGTCCACTCTGATCAGGAGAGAGTACTTGTGTCTCTCTCACATCTCTCACACCCGACCCGTCTATCTTCCCTGCGACGAAAGTTGTCAATTTCCATTGGTTATCTAATATGGCATCTGCTCCTGTGCTGTCCAATCCTAAGTCGAAGTCAAACCTCACTGTTGTCTTATTAATGTCGATTACCCCTGAGCTTTGAAGCGTCAGATCTGTATCATACACCTTGACACCTAAAAAAAACCATAAATATTATACATAAATTAACATCATGTATAAACCAATCCACCCATATGCAAAGGTTCTAAATAGAGTATCCTCTCCTTCCTCGGCTTAAACCAGACCTCTGCGAGGGCCAAGGTTCCTATGCGGGCATTCGTAAAATATTGCACTACTGTATTTTCGATGATGTAGGCATGGCAACTAACGAGGGAGTGCTCGTGTTAATTTGAGATGACAAACACATTTAAGGGCAGATAGTTTCAGTTTTATCGTATGTAATCATGGCAATCATCAGGTGCTAGAAGTACCTCATGAAACAGCCTGTAGTGCA